ATAATGACCGGTCAATTTGATAAATCATTGAAATTTATTACAATGCCCGATTTCGTTGGTCATTATTCATAATGCCCGTATTATTAATCACTTTGTCCATAACATATTTACTACTACAAGCTGATGATACAACACTACATTTGATATCTACCCCTTCAATGAACGACAATTCTCAGAGAAGCAAAAATAAGGAGCCACTGCAAGAAGTAAAATCTACTACTTTACAAGATACTTTACTACATTTGCCCCATAATAATTCATAAGAGAATGAGCTTGCACAAAGTACTGTCTCACAAATCGATAATACTGTACAAAATATGTGCTCTACTGTTCCAGAAGAAATACTGTTAAATTACAACGATCCCCATTCCTGGCCTACTATCAGGGCAGGATTAACCCACTTTGGGGCCCTAGACATTTTCTTCTTACCGGGCCCCTCGCTCATAAGAAATAGAGCACACAAAAAATATAAAACAATAAATAAAACAAAACTAAATAATGTGAAAAACTAAAACAAATCTTAAATTTTTATTAATAAAAAATATTTAATACACAACAATAAATTTTAGTTTTTCTAGAAAAGTTTAAACAGTTTGTTTATAAATTTAAAAAATTGAAATTTATTTTATTAAATGTCTAACAACAGTTGTTTTACAAAATAAATATTACCTTAAAATATTAATTTTCAACAAGACTGTGTCTTGTTTATAAAATCGTACTGCCTGCTGTGTTACCAGCTTAGAGGTATGAAAGAGTACATGTCAGGAGTTGCAATATGGCACAGAGTATTAAGTGCCAAAATCATGCGCGCATAAAAAAACCAGACTTGTAGGTAGCCTACTCAGAGGACCGAGAACCGAGTCAAAGTAAAATACAAAATGGCGACTCTCTCTACAAACAGGCAAACCGAAGTCAGGTGGTGAGAGTACCACCCACAGTCGTTCTAGGAACTGGACTGTGACCCTAGGACTGAACACGTAGTATTTTCTTTGTTGAATAAAATTTGTAATCTAATTTTGTAAATTTAGGAGTGCTTCAAATATGACATTAAAACAGGGTTTTATGTCGTTACAAGTAGGTTTTTTAACATTATCTAGTATAGTAAAATCGTGAAACCGATAAAAATTTGACATTATATTAGGGTTGTCGTTACATCCGATGACGTTATAATCGGGTTAAACTGTATATTGTTTGTGCAAAATAAAAAAATAATTTCGGACGATACAATAGCCACGATTATTTTTTTCAAAAACGGGAAATTCTCGTTAGGCATCGACAAAAATTCAACCCGGGCCGACGGGTTGCAACGGAGAGAAATTTCGAAATTGGATAGGTTAATTTCATCAAAAATGCATCGTGGACGATCTCGTAGTCGTGGCCGGCGAAGTTTGAACGATCGCGCCCAAAAGCAGCGATACCAAAGAAGATTGGATAATGAGAACGAGACCCGCCTTGAGCGTCAAAGTGATTCTGCTTAGTATTGTCTCCGAGACATAGTCGTGTCCCAAATACGGTTTTGCCGTTTTACTTGTTTAATTTAACCTTTTTGGTTAATATTTAAATAATATCATATTTTATCAGTTTTACCAGTATTATACAGTTGTCCAACAGAAAAGTAAACTATCTTATTTACATATCTTTTCAAAATAAACAGTTTGACTGGGCCCTAGACATTTGTCTCATTTGTCTATGCGATGATCCGGCCCTGCCTACTATTACAAATAAAATAATTTATTCCCTTGTCACATATGGTCAAAATCTAGGCGACAACATTAACTTTAAATAGACATATTAAGCGAAGCATGCAAAGGAGTGTAACAGGAATGATAAAGATACTTTGTGTTCAAGTAAATATAAGAAATATTGTCACACTTCAGCGAGATACACTATATTACATATTTATATAAAAAGTTTCTCCTGGGAAGCTAATAAATAATGATAAATGTATATTTGAATTAATTTCTGTAATTTATATACAGTACTTGGAATTTGATGGTATTAAAATTTAATTATTTGTAATTATTATTCGATTTGGTATTTTCTAGTAAATTTAACTAGATTTTTTTGTAGTACAGTAATTTATTTTCTGCTAACATTATTTTATCTTCGATGTCAAATATTACTTCAATGAAAATTAATGCAAATGAAATCACGAATATAGAGGCTAAATGACATCGGCTAGTAGCGTCTCGGCCTTAGTCTTAGATTTTAAATTTTTAAATAATTTTTTTTTATTTTGCATTAATTTTGTCTGCATTTTTTAAACCGTTAATTACATTTTTTTTAAAAATTAACTTCAATTCTTTTTATAAGTATAGGAATTGTTTTAGTGTTGTTTCGCACAAAAGATCATCAAATTTAAATTGTTTTAATAATTTAATTTTTGTTTCACAAATCTGCCTGCTTAAAATTTCTTTTTTAAATTTAAATTTTAATTATAAACCAGTTAACATTAATTGAACTATCGGGCTACCTAGCTACTAATAAAAACAATAATTATGAACTCTAGTAAAAATACAGTAATAAATTTTTAAAAATAGTTCTGACCGGAACTGCTTGACACTCAGTGTGGAACAATTCTTATTAGTTCCGATCCGGCAACAATCAAACACCGAACGTCTGTGCTCGTGAAAAATATATTACAAATATTAATACATTTCGAAATGTCAAATAAAAAAAAATACATTATTTTAAACATTTAAAGAATATAAAATAACATCTAAAATGCTAGTAAACATTTATCGATTAATTAATATCGGAAATTATTTCGAAATATCCTACAAATAATTCTATAATAGATCACGAACAGGAAATTCAAATAATAATTATTCGATAATATATTGTAAATGGAAATAAAACATAATTATAAATTTTCATTTTCCTCAATTTAAAATACTCAGATATATAATTACAATAATGGAAAATTTATATTTAGCTTTTATTTTCCTTATAAAAAAAAAAAAAAAAAA